TGTAAAGAATAAGAAAAAGAAGAAGAAAATATAAAGTCAAAGTTAAACATATGCCTATCAATTGTTTTATTTTCAAACTTTTTTTTTGGTTCAGTTATTAATTTTCTTCTTTTCTTTTTTGAATTATTAATTTCAAGGCATTTTTTTGTTTTAATAAGCAAAATTTTTATACAAAAATTTTATCTCAAATTTTTGACTTATGAACTCTCAGCGTCAGGAAGAAGTTAACTTTTTTAAAAGTAATTTTTGCCTATTTTTCAGATCTTTTTCAATTGTTGAAAATCGTCAACAAACAGCTTTCTCTAAACAAAAATAAAAAGTAGCAAAAAGACTTTTAAATTCTGCTTTGCAAAATTCTGAAAAAAAAAACAAAAAAAAATAAAGAAGAACTGCAGCAAATGATCGTTTTGCAAGTGATATTTATCCTTTCAAAAAACCAAGAAAAAAACGGTTTGTTTTTAAAAGATAACCGATATAATACTTCTCAATATCGCACATCAATTTACTTATAAAGATTGCGATAACAAAATATGAAAGTAATCTGAAAATTATTCGGGAAAGTAGAGAGTTTTTAGAAGAAAAAAATAGTAGCAGACAGATAGGCAAACTGAATGCCATTTTCAGCAGAAAGTTGAGCTATTTACCGAAATCAAACTTCCAACTGTATTTGTCAGTGAATGCTGAGGTATCCAGAATCATAAGCAAGAAATTTCTAGTACTTTTTAAATTCGTCCTTATCTCACAATTGTTCCTCTGAGCCTAAGAAATACTATTTCACTCTTTTCTTCTCTTTCTTTTTTCTTCATTTCTGCTGGATAACTTTCAGCATTATTCTCATCTGTGAAAAATGTTGTTCTAAACTCACTTTAAACCAATAATTTTTTATTCTTTTTTTCACTGTTTACAATAGTTTAAAATAACTTTTGTTCTTTCCATCAGTTTTGACTCAATTTTTTATTCATTTAAATATTTAACAGAATACTTGCCGAAATAGATTAATAACAAAACAAAAAAATGTCATTACATTATTATTTGTTAAGAAAATAATTTTTGGCACATTTTACATGGTTAAAATCTTATTGTATTTTTTT